GCGGGGGCGGGGGGGGGGGGGGGGGGCGGAGGGCGGGGCGCCCGCTGGGGAAACCGTAAGTAACGACGCTCCTGCCCGCGGCGGCATCGCCTCTGCTGTTGCCTCGGCGTCGGCCTGCGCAGGTGTCGGCCTGGCTGGCCTCCTCTGGCGCTTCTCACAGGAGCTAGAGAAGCCTGAGCTTGCCGCGTAGGCAAAGAATGGATTTGCTCCCGCGGTTTCAGCGCAACTCTTGCATGCTGTGTAAAACTCTGATCCACCTCAGAAATGTCTGCATCTTCCTTGTAGAGTAAGGATTATATACTGCCCTCAGCTCTTAGGATAGGAACGTTTCGTTGAATTTGTGGCTTTATACTGAAGCTTTGCTCAAAGGATTGGTGTCCTTCCTCCCCTGGGAGGAATTCTGCAAAGGGGTGGTAATATAATGACAGTTTCATTTGAAATTTGGTCTCTGCACAAGATAATTTGCTAAAGAGAGACAAATTTCTCTTTATTGGAAATACCTGCAAGCAGTTTTCTGCGTGTCGCAAAATACTTTCAACAAGTGTTGCATGTTGCTCGAGGTGGACTTAAACTGGCCTTTAAGGAATAATGTGTTGAAATTCAAATGTTAGGATGATGCTACCAAATGTCCTGAGCAGTAGATATTCCCACGAGATTATTTGATTTGAATGTCTGCTTGGCTTTACTGAAAGAATAAATAAGCTGCATCTGCTTTAAGCAACTCTGTGATTTTAGTTTACCTTGTTACTGGTTTTGGGTTTCCATTGTTGTCTTTTTTGTTTTTCAGATAACACCGTGATACGAAACATTTATTGAAATATATTTTCTGGAATGAAGTAGGCAAGCAACATAGAAAAGGTGTAATTACTTACAAGTGATGACAGTTCATTTATCTTTAGACGCATATTTATTCTTTGTGATTAACCCAAAAAGTCTTTGGTGGAAGCAAAGAAACAAATACCTGTATTTGTATAGACCAAATGTCTGCTGGAGGATAAATCATGCCGTTCACCTGAGAGTTTTTCATACAAGTGAGCCTCGGTGCAGATGGGCCAGAAGCAGAACTTTTTGGTATAACAGATACGTTTACAGCCATGACTTTTTATGCTACAGAGTTTCGAAACTTTTAACTTCTTCTTCCAAAGGACTTACAAAAGTGAACAATCGCATGTCACGAATTAAGAACACTATAGAATCTGTTTCAAAGGCAGTGTCTGGCACTCACAGTGAACTGGTTTCACGGATAGCTCGATTAAAGTCACACTCAGGTACTCTGGGAAAAGCAAATAAAAGTAATGCAGATGCAAATAACATTAATGCAAATCTGGAAAGTGATAAACAAGTCACAGATGCCAGAACTCGGGAGGATTGCGACAGAGGCCCAGCTGCAAAGAAATCCACTTGTGCAAATGAAAACTCAGAGTTTGTGTTAGTAAGTTCAAGTGGCGCTTATCAAGATACTCCAGAAGATTCAGCATCTACTAAAAACCACCTTTTTCATATAAGCTACTTTTCTACAAATTTTGGAGAGACTTACAACTTCGTAGCTGATCATATCAACTGGTACTTTAATACTAATTCTGTTATGGATCAAGAGAAAAAAGGGGATGCTTTGTTACAGGACTCTAAAAGTGAAGAGGTGAACAAGCTTGATTCATCAGAAAATGCTGTAATGAGTGAAGAAAAGACAGTGGATTCAGCAGCTACTTTAGCTCCTGAAGCAGAGACTCTGGGTGCTGAAAAGACAAATACTGCTCTTCCAGTGTCCACTAAAAAAAGTATTGCAAACTTTCTTTCATATCCCAGTAACAGTGTACAAGCTTTTGTAGACAGTTACATTGGTGGGTTGGTTCCCAAGTTAAGGTCTGATACGAAAGTTGTTTCACAAGAAAAGAGTAAACATCCAGAACAAGAAGTGTCTGAGAAAGATGAGGAGGACAAAGCAAAAGAGGCTAAGACTGCAGAAGAGAGGGAAAAACATCTGTCTCTTCAGAGAGAAAAGGCAAGTCTTTGTTTAGTCTTATTTCTTTATATATTGTTCCTGTGTATATGTATATTTTATACAACTCTGTGTATACACTACACACATACGTGTAAACTTACATGTAGGTATATATACACATATACTTACATAAATAAGTATATACCCGTGTATATACTTGCGTACATGTAAGTACAAATGTATTTATATAAATAAGTATATAGGTATATACACATATATAAAAACTATATAAACATACATACATACTATATGTAAATAATATGTAAATTTACATATATGTATATGTACTAAATATGTGTATATGTGTATATACTTTTTATATAAGTACATGTACGTATAGGTAACTATATATATAAAGTCTATATATGTATGTACACGTACGTGTGTGTATAGTATATACATATATTTAGTTCATATATATGTAGAGAGAGAGAGTACATAAATATAGATAGATCTAGTTGCTTCTTTTTATTGTTGTAGTAATCTTACACTCCTTCATGGTCCAAATACTATGATTTCAGAGTTGCCCTGAAAATACATCTGAGTACATGCTGACATGTTTGTTTGGTGTATTGTTGCTGTGAGCTGCCTTTATTTATTTTTCTGGTAAACAAAGAATCAAAAGGTTGCCTGTTTACGTTTAAGCAATGCTTACTTGGAATCTGTAGCAGATCTCTGGTACGACATGTTGTCCATTACTTCTGAGAAATCTTAAAATAACAGTTTGGGATTAGTCTTGGCAAATTTTACACATTTCTTAGGGTAGTTTTATGTTATTTGTGTAACTTTATTTGTTTTTTTAGATTATTGCAAGAGTGAGTATTGATAACAGGACTCGAGCTTTAGTTCAAGCCCTACGAAGATCCTCTAATCGAAGAGTCTGTATCAGCAGGGTTGAAGAACTGACCTATCATCTTCTAGAATTTCCAGAGAGCAGACGAGTTGCAATTAAGGTGCAAATAGTCTTTATGCTTAGACAAAAAATAAATACCTGACAGACGATTGACATAGAATAACATAAACCTTTCTTCTGTGCTTTTGTGGGCTAGTCATATTTTCTATTTGTAAAGATTACAATGTGAATGTCTCGTTTTATAGCTATTTTTTTAGCTGGTTCAAGCAGATTCATGTGCAAACAATCAGTAGTTTAGCTAAAGGTTCTTCAGATTGCAATGTTTAATTTAGAAGCATACAGCATTGTCATGTGGATAGATAGTATAGCTTAGTCTAGCAGTAGATGAAGGTCGTACACTGTGTCCTCTGTCGCAATTGACCAGACGGGAATGTACGGTACAGCTGATCTGCATATGCACAACAGTTTTCATGCTTGTTTGCATGCTTCCCTGGAAGAGAGAGGGCAAGAGTGGAGTATAACCATCAAATAAGCTCATGTAATGTAGTCCTACTCATTCTCTTTCCTGCAGTGAGAGGACAGGAGGTGGGTGGTAGACTATTCTAACAGTACTAGCCAAATCATAGCATTTGTCAGTCTCAGGCTTTTTTCCACAAGATGTGACAGATCTGTGACATAGATTGTAGAATTGCTGGAAAAGAGATCTTTGGGAATGGAGTGCAGGCCAGATCAATCATCTGAGCAGGGTAGAGGTTGAGCATCCACATGAATAGGTGTGAATTACTTTATTATGAAAGAGTACATTCACTACTCCCATTTTGATTGTAATACTCTCTATCTTTGTGATAATAACTGTACATTTAAAAATTACTCAGTGTGAGGAAGAATTTTAATTTTTGTTTTGTTTTAATATTAGTGTACTTAGAGGGCATTTCCTGTTTTGAAGCAGTGTGATACCTATTCAGCAAAATCTGGGCTTTTAGCTATATTTGGTATGCTTCATACTTGAGTTTATATTTGGCTAATGTGACATTAAAGTCAATAAAACTAAACTGCTGGTAAATATAGTTTTTCTAGCTATTCAAAAGATTCACCCTTCACCTTGATTGTTTAATTCTGATGGGTAGTTACTTTAACAATGGGATGTGTACAACATAATATTGAAGTCCTTTCCCTTGTTAGAGAGAGAGATGGGTAAATACAGATTGAAAGAAGTTTTCCTCTGAGTTTAATTAATATATTACTTTTATACTTAAATGCCAAACTAGTAAATTTAAGCATGGATTCTTTTGGTATAAACATATAGTTAGAATGAAATTTTTTTATCAACAGGAAAAATTAATCCCATGCCTACTGCGACTGAGACAGGCAAATGACGAAAGTCTTCAGGCTGCTGTTAGAGAGACTTTAGCTATAATTGGATATACAGACCCTGTGAAAGGCTGGGGAATTCGAGTCCTCGCTATTGATGGAGGAGGAACAAGGTAAAATCTCTGGGGTTTTTATATACTTGTAGCCTTTTTCATACTGTAATTGGAAATAAAATTTCAGTTTCTCTTTGATAAGTTTGTGCCCAAAGATGCAATTTATGATTTACACTTCTGTTACATTTGACTATCCAAGTGATGGGTATTATTTTTGTATGTGTTTGTACTTAAGTTTCCATGTATTAGTAGTCCTATGACACTGAAATTACGTGCCCATTTAAAGCTGGCTATACATTTAAGTGCTTGAATTGGCTCTTTCTCCTTTTGGAAGTAAATTAAATGGTTATTTATGTTAGTCTGCTCACAAGTCTTATCTCAGAAATAACAAATTGGTGTGAAACGCTAGAAATAGTTCATACTCTCAGGACTGTGTTGACTTAGTAATACAAAAAATGTTCTTGTCTGGAGGGTGACCTACCTTAGCAGGACTGGTCTCATGAAAGAATGAATAGGCTAGTGGTGAAAGCTACTCTAGCCATGCTGTTGATTTATATTTCTTCTACAACAAACACTTTTTTTTAATTTATGCACCACGCATCCTTAGTTACGCGTGCTCTAGTTCTGCATGAATTTATGCATCTACCACAATTTGTAAAGAGTAGTAGCAGAAGCATGTTCATTCAATTTGAAGTCTGATGTTCACTAAAAGCTGTGTTTTCAGGTATATTTGAAGAAATCTTGTTGGCAAATATTTACTGATTCACAGATCTTTATTGGTAGGAAGTGAAGTATGAAGTCGATGCAGAAACACAGTTTCACGAACTCCTTGTTTCTCCATAGTATTTTTTCTACTTGCATCAAAATCAATTGCCTTCAGTAAGGAGTAATTGTATGTTGTAACCTCAACATTTGTGTTTCCAAAAGTTCATTGTAAACCATAAAGATTTTACAAAGTAGAAGGAAGGATGCTTTATGTATAAATAAAAGTGTGTTAATTTTTCTGTTAGATTTCTAGGGGAGTGACATTAGAAGATGCCTTATCTTTAGAAGGTGTTATCTACATCTATAACACTAAATGAAACAAGTCCAGAGGGTGAACCCGAGTACTAACTACTGGCTGTTGTGCCACTTAATTGGTGGTGTTCAGCTGGTTATAGTTTTGGACTGGGTTGACTAGTGGTCTTCAGCACAAGCCAGGACAGATCTGGGGGCAGCGTGCAGGAGGTGCCATTCTCAGCAGAACGTGTTGGCAAGATGGTACTTGATCTGGTGCTCCTTTTGCCACATGCAGTTCTCTAGCTCTAGCCCCGCAGAGTTAGCACCTTTGCGTGCCAGAACTCTGTTTCATGCTATAGAAGCACAAGTCTGATGGTCTGGAATGCAACTCTCGCGTTATTTCTGACACACTGAATTGAGGCAAAAAAAAACACAGACAGAAAAATACTATGTCCTAAGGGGCATTATATAGCCCTGTGAAGACCAAACTTTGAGTGCTGCATGTTGTGGATGCAGCTAAAATCTATCCTGAAGATGATCATCCCTGAGCCTTTGCTACAAAACAATATGGCTGTAGCTGCTGAGTACTGTTTTTGGTATGCCCAAATATGTAATTTATATTTAGTATTCATCATTCCATTTTAATTGTGTTCTGCTACTCTTTCATTCCCTGAAATATTCACGATCCATACTGTTGTAGCTATTCAGTTATAATTAGTTATAATTAAGCAAAGGTGGGCTTAATTAGAGCTATGTAAGATAAAACTACCATTGTATGTGAAGGGTTTTTTGTGTTTCAGGGGTTTAGTTGCACTTCAGACTCTACGGAAACTAGAAGAACTAACTGGAAAGCCGGTTCATCAACTTTTTGACTACATTTGTGGTGTAAGCACAGGTAATTGTTAAGCCACAAGTTGGAATTTTGCTATGAATATAGTAGAAGAACATCTGAGAATAAATGTAGATTTTGCAGAACTTGCCGGTTTTTGACTTTGATCGTAAGTTGGGAAAATTCAGGTGTGATTTCTGAAGTCTTTCCTCTTTCTTCTGAATAAGAACTTTGGGTGATTTGTGATACACTTGTAACTTCAAACAGATTTCTCATTTTTTTTCAACAAATGCAAAACCTTCATTTTGTGCACAGATAAAATATCTTAGATGTTTATGGGGCTTGACAGACAACTAAAGTAATGTCCCTCAGGGCCAATAGTGTTTCCTGTCTTTATTAATGACCTGCACAGTGGGACAGAGTGTGCCTGTAGCAAGATCTTGGATGATACTAAATTAGGGGAAGTGGTCAGTACAGTGCTGCCCTCTGTTCAGATTGGCCTGTGCAGGCTGGAGCAATGGCTTGACAGGAACCACCTAAGGTTCAATAAAGCCAAGTACAAAAGACCTGATCTGGTTGGAACAAGGTGAACATGAGTCATCAGCATACCCTTGCAGCAAAGAAAGCTGACTGCGTATTGGCTTGTACACACAAGAACATACCCATCAGATTAAGGGTTTCTGGCCACTGTGCGTCTAGTTCTGGGCTCCTCAGTAAATGCTTAATCTGTTGGGTACATTGTGTACATACTGAGTGAGTCTGGCAGAGGGCCAAGTAGATAATCAGGGGACTGGGGGTCATGACATATAGGGAGAGAGTGCAAGAACTGAGTTTATTCAGCCTTAAGAAGGGAAGGCTAAGGGGAGGTCTTATTGCTGTTTCAAATAATAGGAATATACAGAGAAGGTGGAGCTAGACTCTTCTTGAAGGTACACAGTGATAGGAGAAAAGCCAAGACAAGTTGGAATATGGGAAGTTACAATTAGGTATAAGGAATTATGTTTTCCTTGCAAGGATGGTCAGACACTGGAAGGAGTTGCTTGCACAGGCTGTGGAATCTGTATCCTTGGAGATATTCAAAACACGGCTGAACAAGTCCTGAGTAACCTGTTCTAATTGACCCTGTTTGAACAGGAGGTTGGACTAGATGACCTCTAGAGGTCCCTCCCTCCCTGCCTTAATTACTCTTGTGACTCAGTGATAAGTTACTCCTCCCTAGGAAGCAGGAAACTCTAAAGCATAAGTTTCTTTTTAAAAGACAGTTATCTCTTTCAGAAATGATGCTAGACCAGTAGCAGCATAATGCTGATTTCTAACGTAAGAGGTATGCTGTAGTGCAATAGCTCAGTTTCCTTTAGAAACTCACATACTTGAATTTTTTTGCACTGTACTTATCTTCCATACAATTTAATTTCGAAATAACATTAAATGCAGATCACCATGAGTAGATACAATGTTCATGTTTCCAGAGATTTAATAGGCTCAAAATAGTAGAGAAGAGGAGAATGTTTAGGTCTATTAGACAGAATTTGTTTGTAGGCACAATATAGTTCCCTGCTTTACATTTTTAAGTCTTTGAAAAAAATCCTTTGTTAGTTAATTTAGCAGTAAGCAGTTAGAATCATAGAATCATCAAGGTTGGAAAAGACCCTTAAGATCATCAAGTCCAACCGTCAACCTATCACTGCCAAGTCCATCTATACCATGTCTTCAAGCACCGTATCTATCCGTTCTTTAAATACCTCCAGGGATGCAGACTCAACCACTTCCCTGGGCAACCTGTTCCAATGCTTGACCACCTTCTCGGTGAAGAAGTTTTTCCTAATATCTAACCTAAACCTCCCCTGGCGCAGCTTGAGGCCGTTGTTTCTTTGGAAGATAGTTTCACTACAGAACACTTCTCTAATGTCTCCTTGGAAGAAGTATTTTTGTTCAGGAGAACTCATGAATAAGTCAAGTCATAGTATTATAGTGCAGAAAGTGTCCTTAGGAGGTTATCTCATTTCCCAAGGGAAGGTTCAGCTGTGTGTGTTTCACTATTGACAATTCTAAGATCTTGAATCATGTCAGACCTCTTTAGAAAATCTCTGCTAGTGCTCCGCTGTCTTTATTTTTGGGAAAAAAAAATAATCCAAATATCCAATGTGGATCTTCCTACTGCAGTTCAAATTTGTTTCCTCTTGTGCTGACTCCCCAGAAGCATGGATAACAGATTCTTTCTTTTCTCTTTGCAGCAGCCTTTTGTACATTGAAGACTTTTGTCATAGCCTGTTTACTCAGGCTTTCCTTACAGACTGATTTCCTTGACCTGTGATTGTTTTTGGAGACTTTTTTGTGTTTTTTTTCTTTTTTTCAATTGGTCTATATCTTTTTTTGAAGAATGTCATTCGGGTCCAGATATAGCGCTTCAGCAGAGGTCTTACTAGTACTGAATAAGGAAGGAACACTTTTGTCTTTCAGGTTATATTCTTGCCTATCTTGTGTCTTATTAGCCAACTGTATCCCTGTGTTCTTCAAAATAGGCTCCTTAGCCTCCCAGGTCTTATTTAGGTATTCTTTTCCACCTGAAGTGTTGGCAATCAAGGCTCAGATGGTGGCTGGAGTGTAGGAGTCTGTGATACAGAGCAGGATGTGATGGAAGTGTCAGAAACTTTTTTTTTCTCTGGACCATCTGATAGAGCCTGCACTGTATCATTGATTTTGACCTTACTCTCCTATGAGTGTCTTGTTTCCATCCATTAGGTTTCAGCAACTTCAATGTGTACCTTGACTCTGATAATACCTACTGTCATTTGTGTGCTGATGCAGACCACAGTTTTTGGTGCTGTTTCTCAGGAGGTGAAGTGAAAATGGGTTTGCATTTGGTATAAATTTTGGCGCTTTGGCTTTGAAACTGCTCGCCAAAATAGCAAATGCATGTTGTTAATAGAATTGGTCCTGGAGTTGAGGAAAAGAAGGTAGCAGAGGATTTGCATGATTCAGGAAAATGGCATTTCTCTGCTGCTGTATGTTTAGTCTGTGTTGAATACAGGCATTTGGTGATTTGGCAGTTGAGTAAGTTTCTCTTGTGTTAAGTAGGCCCAGGTTATATTAAGCATGTGTGCTACATTTAAAAAAAAATTGAGACTGTCAGTCCACTGACTCTCAGCTATTGTGGTGGTAGGATTTGTGAGAGCAAAAGAAGCTTGGAAGTCATGTTCCCTTTAAAGCCAGCTGTAACTTTCTTTATGTAGTTCTTTCTGCATATGTGTTTTATTCTTACTCTGTTTCAAGAACTTACTCTTTTTAAAATTAATTTTATTCAAACCTATTGCATTCATTTCCAAATCGGAAAAATCATGTGTCCTAATTATTCCTAATGCTTAATTACATGTCCTCACAGTATTGCACAATTAGATTTAAAGGTTGTATATGTCCCTTTCATTTTAATATATCTAAGAACTGCAGTGCTGCATTAATTGTATTTTTCCACAGTCTTTTTAATGGTATTCTGCAACCATGCTTTTTGGATACTGTTGTTTTGTTCCTACAAGGGTAGGTCATATTTTTTTTTTAGGCACACACTAGATGGCAGTATGTATGAATGACTAATTGTAAATGGTTGCAACCAAATGTATTCCAAGCTAGTCAAAACTCCCTTCTTTTTACAGAATTTTCCTAGAATTTTTCTTTACTGACTCAGTTTGCCAGATATCAAGTAATGCTCCAAATATATTTTTAATACCACAGCATAGATTTCTCTTACTCATTTCTCTTTCCAAATAAAGCAGTGGATTTAATTTGCTTTCTGCCATATGCATGTTTGCAGGGATGAAATCTGTGAAATGAAATAATGCCATTTGTCACCTTCTTATAGTTCTGTTTTTGACAGTAGACTCTTCCTATCTTGTATATGTCCTTTAAAACATAGTTTGTGATCTTTGAACAGGAATTTAGTGATACAAATGTCAGTTGATCTTCCCTTTTCAAGATAGATATTCCGCTAACCTATGAACTATATTAAATGGTAATCCATCTTTGTAATCTTACTCCAGGCTATATTTTACATTTCAAAATATTTCTTTTTCAGGAGCTATATTAGCTTTTATGTTGGGATTGTTCCATATCCCTCTGGATGATTGCGAAGAACTGTATCGCAAGTTAGGATCAGATGTTTTTAAGCAGAATGTCATTGTTGGAACAGTCAAAATGGGTTGGAGCCACGCCTTTTATGACAGTGATATCTGGGAAAAAATGCTCAAGTAAGTAAAAAATGATCAGGTGAAAAATAATTAGTATAATGTCTGAGAGCCTTTGCTTTTGTTATTGTTTCACTGGTAAGCAAATTCTTAAAACAACTAGAAAGGATTAGCATATACTCTTATTCTTTTGAAATAGCTGTTTTCATATTTACCAAAACATTGAAAGCCTTTAAGGTAATGATTTCTCTTTTCTGGGGAGTAAAGTCAGCTTTAGTGCACTGATTTCTGATTATATTCCAGTGTTCTTGCCAGCTCTGCTTGATCTGACTCATTATAGATGTGCTACAAATTTTACTAATCACCTGCTGTGCTTTTTTTCTTATAGGAGACATGATGAGAAATGAAATAATGTAGTAGGGATTTTTAATCTTAGCTGCTATATTGAGGGGTTTTGCCCATTGCCCCTTTCTTTGAAAAGGGAAATGAGCTGTAAGGATTGCAATGAAAAAATATCTGCTGTGTCAGAGTTGCCAGTGAAATGGTGTTTGTTCATAGTTATGTATACAAATGCATTAATGGCTATTCAGGAAAAGTCACTGGAAGAAATGATTAATGCTTTTTACAAGTTTTATTACTTAGCTTTATTCGTCTGTATTTGTACTGATAGTTCCATAGTTTATAATTTTTAGCAAGCTAATGTCATAGTTTCCCAAACAGTGTAAGCTGGCACTGCTAGTGAAAGAACTCAAACAACCTTCTCTGAGAGCAAATGTAAAATGGTAAAAAGCTTCTTCGGATAGGTTCCTTTGACAGGTTCCTTTGGGAACATGATTAATGTGTTTTATGGGATTGAAAGAGTTTTTTCTAGACATTATAGTGGGACTTGTGCTGCTTGAGTTTTAAGCATCTCACTTTGCTGAAGCGGAGAGGGAGGCTTCCAAGCACTTCTCTATGCTCTTGCATGTTTTTAGGAATGAATGTGTTTATGAAATGAGTAGAATGAGTTTTTCTTCTCACATACCTGGAATTCCTCTTTTTTAAAAAAGAGATTTTTCTCTGCCTTCCCTCTTTGCCTCCCCTGCCCAACTCAAAGAAGTCTTGTGAAAATCAGAATTACCTCATGTGAAAGTATTTTACGTGCCTTTAATTAAAATGCTATTATTCTTTGCAACTACATGTAACACATGAGGGGAGGTGAAGCGCTCTGCTCCTGTGCAATGGACAGAAGCCAGGCAATTATTATATTATCCATAGATTAAATTAAAAATTAAATTTACTGATCAATAAATTACTTTTTGTTGACCTAATTCTGCAATGTTGAAGGGAGATGCTATGCCTACACAACATTTTATTGAAACAGTAGGCTTTCCTGCAGGGAAAACTGCTTTATATTTTGTTTTAAATTTAAAAGCCTTACCTGTGCTGTGTGGGTTTTTGTTGTTTAAATGTAGTAGGCCTGTCAGCCTCGCTTGCAATAGAGAGTATCCATTTACAATATACAGGCATGCAATATACATTTAGCCCTACCACAATATTGATGGTATTATTTTCTGTCAGAAAGTATTCTTGCTGAAAATAATTAAGCTAATGTTGCATTAGGCTAATGTTGCATGCACTCATGAGGCATATTATAAATTCCATTTCAGAGAATGACAACTAATTTTGTTAACTAACTTTTTATTTTGAGTGCTGTAGGGAATTGATTTTATGTCTTACATATATGTTTGTTTTAGCTCTTCCTATTTATTCCTTGAATAGCAGTTTGAGGACTGGTTTTAATCAGTTACTTTTATTAATTTGTGCAGAAAATGATACTTACTGTACATCAGTCTATGTATATGTTATATTGAATTGCATTTGTAAGAAGAACTTGGCTTATAGTTCCAAGTTTTCTGTTTTCTTTTGACTGTTGTCTACATATAAAATTTTCTTCTTTCATCCTGTCTTGAGAAACTAGTGGAGAAATTTGGTGAGCAGCTAGGGGTTTTCACAAGCAAACCAAAATCCCACACTGGGAATTTGTAATCTTGAGAAGCAGTCAAGCACTGTGTAGAGGGCAGGGTAAAAGTTACGTGTTCTCTGTTGGTACTGGTACTGGTCTCTGGTACTTTTGTCGTTGTTGGTAGAAGGGGGTAAAAAGTTACAATCTTGCCTTTCGAATTGAATGCTCTTTCTCCAGACTATTAGATTGCACCCTGGCTGGAGCCCATTAGAATGTTTCTTTAAGCATATGGTTGGGAATATGTTCTTCATAGCAGTATTGAAATAAGTGTTGCAATATTAGTTGCTCAGAGCAATGAAAGAGCAACATTTGTAAAGGAGACTTGTTTAGGTAGGTCATGTCTAGAGGACGTAGGTCACGGACAGACACCAACAAAGCAGAAAAATGGAAAAATAGGATTGCAAATGAAATTATGTGTAAAGTAATAACCCATGAGTGGAAAAATGTAAAATGCTTACAGAATTTAAACTAACTTTACTATCAAAAGGGATTTGGGTGTTGTTATGGACAGTTTAATGAAACATCTGCATGCTTGTGGTCAAAGAAAATCATTCAGTGTGTGATGGTTGGGATTGAAAATACAGAAAATACTGTAATGTCATTATATTAATCCATAATACAGTTTCATTTAAAATACTATTTACCGTCCCAGTTACCCCATTTTAGAGAACGTTTCTATTGCAAGATTGGTAAAAAGTAGCCAGTGATCTACAGGCAACTCATACAAAGGAATTAGGACTCTTTATCGTTAAAAAAAAGCAAACGAGTTAAAGCGGTAATTTGAAATAGTAAGATATCTTAAGAATTGTCGTTCTTATCTTTTCTTCAAGAACAAGGGACTATTCAATAAAATTAAAATTAGGATACTTTCTCTTTTAACACAGTTTGTGAATGAACTGGAATTAATTGTGTTGTGACTTCAGTAAAGAAAATAATTGAACAGTGAGGCTTGACAAAGACATTTAGATAATATGCAATTACAGTATTAATGCTAGCAACAAAAGTAAAATAAATTTGGAGGTGATATTAAACTTTTATCTTTAGACTTTAATGTCTAAAGTTGCATAGTAGTTTAAGGGATTTCTTGTACCTACTCTGAAGCATCAGTTCCTGGCCTTCATAAGAAACAAGATGTGAGAAAATAATTATTCAATTTGACAGTTCCTGTAATTAAGAAGTGGATATTGCTTATACAGTTTTTTAATCTTTGCATTCAGGGTTTGGGAAAAAATATCTAATACAGATATTTAGGAATAAGTGTATGGAAGTGATGCAAATCAGTAGATGTCTTTCATATCTCACCTCTGTCAATCTCATTTTTATTTCTGAATATTTCTGCTTCATGGTTCTGTGTGCCTTCGTCTCCTTCTGTAATCATTTAGTGAGTGCAGATGGTGCTCTTCCCCTTCTGGTTGGTGACTGTGAGACTGGAATTAATGCATTTATTGGAAAAAATAAAACAAAACAGTGCTATTGATGTAAGAATTGTGTCAGCAGTAGTCTTCGATCATAGGACTAGAAGCTGTCTCCCTTCCTTCCTTCTTTTCAAGGACGTGTGCGCAGCCATCCTTCAAGCACAAATATCCACTAGTGGAACAGTAAATTGTCCTGCCTCCAAATACCTTGAGGACTACTGCTGTCGTAACATTTAAAGCTTCTTTTATCTTCTGACCTGACTAGATTGTTAAAGGTGTTGTTTTTAACAGTGGAAGCGCTACTACCTACTGTCACAGTAGTGCAAGCTCTAGATGGATGATCTCAACAGCAACACATGGAATCACCTTACTTAAAAAGCAAGGCCATACTGAACACTGTCTTTGCAGAATAACGTAGGTGCACAACCTGTGTTTGTGTGGGCTGTGTTCAACGGGAGGAAGAAAACTTGCTGATTTAAATGAAAGCCTGTTTGGAATCATTATGGATGAGCACCCACTCTAGAGTTTTATACCTTTACTGTAAGCAAATCAAAGTTGAAACAGATGCTGATACAAGATTATTGGTTAGTATGCTGATATCCTCCAGTCTCCTGCCCTGTGCAGGAGGGTTACCTGCTAGTTAGCAATTAGAATACTGACCCTAATGCTGACGTGATGATAAATTATAATGCTGACCATTGGTGTGATTTCACTGTCAAATTTATAAAAATGTAGGCATATCAAAAAATTCCACCTGAAAAATAGATGTTAAACGCATATTGAATTATTGTTATGGAAGATTACATGTAGATGTTTTCACTTTCTTCTAAATCACGTAGAATGTTGTCTTTCTTTCCTTAGCTTTTGTTTTCATAACAGTTCAGGAGAGTAATTTTCTTTACTATAAAACTGCTTAATAAAGATATTAATTTGTTTTGATTCTTAAATGTGGCAAGGTACTTTGTTTTCCTCTCACAAAGTAGCTGAGTAATCCTGATGATTTATGGTTAAGTATGTGGTGAAGTGAGTAACTGAATCAAGACCTCAATCACTCTTCAGACTTATTTCCAACAGCCTAGAAGGTTTGAAATATTGGTCCGTTGAAGTCAACTGTAGAAATACAATTATTAACATGAAATCCCAGCATTGCTTCTTTTAAATGCAAAGTTCTCAGATGTAAGGATGATAAAAATGTGCATCTTTTCATGCTAAACTGATGGAGCATTTTCCATTTTTTTTTTTACACTTATT